AGCCCCCGACGGGAAAACTAGCCAAAGCGACCTCTGGGGGCGGGGTCGCTGAACGTCGAAGCGCTGAAGACCTCCTATTGACGCAGAACTGTACAGAAACCGGCCCGACATCACATACTGCTGCAAAGGATGGCCGACTTTCACTCGACATAGTAGTGATAATTGATGGTTGTGCAGTTAATGCGTTAGTGGACACCGGCGCAGACTATTCCACACTGAGCGGGAAACTGACAACGCAGCTGAAGAAAGTCATCACGCCGTGGCATAACTCGCAGATTCGGACAGCTGGTGGCCACGTCGTTACTCCACTGGGTGCCTGCACAACTAGAATACAGATTCAAGGGTACAGCAAGCTGCCTTGTTCTACGCGAATGTTCCCGTGACGTCATTCTGGGAGTTGACTTTCTACAAGAAAATGGAGCTATCATTGATCTGCAAGAGCGCCGCGTCACGTTCTCAGCCCAGCGAGCAATCAACGTGCAGGATGGTGGAAGGCGTGTCGACGTACTCCGTATTTCTGAACAGAGTGTGACGCTTCCTCCACGAACAAGTGTTCTAGTCGACGTAACATGCTGTGGTTTGGGCGATGGCGATGTGGTGGCTGAGACAAATTTAGAACACCTCCTGCAGCAAGGCATTTGTGTAGCTAGAAGTGTAATACACCTTCGTGATGGTCGATCTGAATTGCTCGTAACCAACTTTAGCAACGAGCATCGACATCTTTTCCGTGGCACTTCGATAGCGTTTGCCCACGAAGTAGCAAACGTCACCAACTGTTTCACGTCGGAAATAGTGGATACCGCCGACACGTCAATGAGTAATATTGACATCAATCCTGATCTGTCCACCGTTAACCAGACTGCACTACGAGCGCTCTTGTTCGAGTTCAGGTCTTGCTTCGCAACTTGCTCAAAGATCCGCCAGCCGTCCATCACTCAACACAGGATCATCACGTACGAGGACGCACGTCCGATACACCAGAACCCCTACCGCGTGTCGGCCAAAGAACGTGAAGCAATACGTACGCAAGTCACCGAGATGCTTGACGATGGCGTTATTGAACCATCTAACAGCCCGTGGTCATCTCTTGTCGTACTTGTCAAAAAGAAGGACGGGTCGCTACGCTTCTGCGTCGACTACCGAAAGCTTAACAACGTGACGAAAAAGGATGTGTATCCGCTGCCACGTATCGACGATTCACTGGATAGACTTCGTCGTGCCCATTATTTCACTTCTCTCGATCTCAAAAGCGGGTATTGGAAAATTGAAGTAGATCAGCGAGACCGTGAGAAAACAGCCTTTGTGACTCCAGACGGCCTATACCAATTTCGAGTGCTTCCTTTTGGCTTGTGTTCAGCACCGGCAACTTTCCAGCGAATAATGGACACTGTCCTCGCAGGGCTCAAGTGGCAGACTTGTCTTGTCTACCTTGATGATGTGGTGGTCTTCTCTACCACTTTTGAGCAGCACCTTCACCGCCTGCGCAGCGTGCTGGAGGCTATCCAATCGGCGGACCTCACACTAAAGCCACAGAAGTGCCACTTCGGCTATAAAGAACTAAAATTTCTTGGACATGTAGTTAGCGCCGAAGGAATCCGTCCCGATCCGGACAAGCTTGCCGCTGTTGCCGAATTACCAGCTCCTTTCGATAAGAAAGCCGTCCGGCGCTTACTTGGTTTGTGCGCCTACTATCGCCGATTCATTCATGGCTTTTCACAGATAGCAGAACCTCTGACTCGTCTCACAAGGGACGACACACCGTTTGTCTGGGAAAACGAGCAACAAGGAGCTTTTGATGAGCAGCGACAGCGCATGCAATCAGCGCCCGTTCTCGCTCATTTCGACGATGATGCTGACACGGAGGTCTATACCGACGCTAGTAACATTGGGCTCGGTTCAGTGCTCGTTCAACGTCAAGAGGACATCGAAAGAGTGATAGCCTACGCCAGCCGCTCGCTATCCCGTGCCGAGGCGAATTATTCCACTACGGAGAAAGAGTGCCTCGCAGTCGTGTGGGCAATCACCAAGTTCCGCCCGTACCTTTATGGTCGTCCCTTCAAGATAGTGACGGACCATCACGCGCTCTCTTGGTTGGCAAGCCTGCGTGACCCTTCAGGTCGGCTAGCACGGTGGAGTTTGCGGCTACAGGAATTTGATGTCACCATCGTCCATAAGTCCGGCCGTAAGCATGAAGACGCTGACACACTGTCACGCGCACCCCTTCATGTCGTCAGTCAGGAAGCAGAGGAAGACGAAGGCTTTCTGGGCGCCGTTAGTGCATCAGACTTGAGCAAACGACAGCGAGATGATGCAGAGATTCGTCCAATCATTGATCATTTAGAGGGCCAGGGCGCAATCATACCACGTCATTTATCCCGCTCGTTGACGTCGTTCTGCCTACGAGACGGTGTGCTGTACAAGAAGAACGCTCGTTCGAACAATCGTGCTTACCTCCTGGTGGTTCCTCGAGACATGCGAGACGACGTCCTCTTCGCTTGCCATGACGAACCCACATCCGGTCATCTGGGCTACTCAAGGACACTTGCCAGAGTGAGCGAGAGGTACTATTGGCCAGGACTTTCAGCAAGCGTAAAGAAGTACGTAAAGAGCTGTCGGGAATGTCAGCGCCGAAAGCAACCGTCTGTTAAGCCAGCTGGTTTGCTTCAGCCCATTGAAGCACCCTGCACGCCGTTCGACCAAGTCGGCATGGACATTCTGGGGCCATTTCCTATGTCTGCGGACAGCAACAAATGGGTGATCGTCGCGACCGACTATTTGACACGCTACGCTGAAACCCAGGCGATCCCACGAGCCACGGCTTCTGAGGTAGCACAATTTTTCATGCGCCACATTGTGTTACGACACGGTGCTCCTTCCAGTGTAATAACGGACAGAGGGACGGCATTCACGGCGCAGCTTACGGACGAAGTTTTCAAACTGAGCAACACCAGACACCGAAGGACAACTGCGTACCACCCGCAAACCAACGGACTTACTGAACGACTGAATAAGACCCTCGCAGACATGATCTCAATTTACATCGACGTACAGCACAAAACGTGGGACCGGATCTTGCCTTACGTGACCTTCGCGTATAATACCGCCGTGCAAGAGACCACGCGATTCACGCCATTTCGGCTTCTCTACGGCCGCGAAGTGCAGACCATGCTAGACTCAATGCTACCGTGTCAGGACGAAGACGAGTTGGCAACAGACGCCGAAGAATTCGCAGAGCGTGCCGAGGAAGCCCGGCAGCTCGCGCGACTGCACATCGGCCAGCAACAGCAGGCAGACGCACGACGCTATAATACCCGCCACAGAGAAGTGTTTTACAGCCCCGGAGATCAAGTTTGGGTGTGGACGCCCGTCCGCCGCCGTGGCCTCAGTGAAAAGTTGCTGAGCCGGTACTTTGGCCCATATAAAGTGTTACGTCGCGTCAGTGACGTGAACTACGAAGTGGTTCCGGACTCAACACCCCATGCACGGAGCAGGACACGGCTGAGGCCGGACGTAGTTCATGTGTTGCGCATGAAGCCATTTATTGCGCGTTGTTCGTAACTTTTCCTTTACCGTACAGCGTTTTTTGTGTTTTTTGTTTATTTTGTGAACTTACTTTCTCGTTCATTGACGTTTCCTATGTTGGCACGCTCTTCAATATTTACTTTCACTTCATCCGAATTTCCATTTTTTTTCACGTGCCTATGTAGTAGCATCGCGGTGCTGCTGTGTACTTTCCTTTCCTCTTTTTGGTACTTCTTTTTTTTCTTTTCGGAAGGGGGGATAATGCCACCAGCACGTAGTGGGTTGACAGCAAGAGCGGCTCTCAATCTGGAGGAAAAAAGAAGATCGCGTGCTTCTTTGCTCGAGAGCCAGCCACGACTGACGCATCGTCCTAGTGCTAGCTACCTGGTGGTTTAATAAATCCCCCAGTACTTGTGACTCATCCTGACAATATTGTTTGAGACTACCCTACACAATGACTACAGGCAACCCGATCCAGACGATATGACTATATCACCATCAACACATTCTCTCTTAGTTTGGGAACTTATACCCGTGCCACACGGGCAGAGAAAATGGCATTTACCTCTTAATGCCTTAAGATTGAATGTCAATCGCGCGGTGCCACACGGATGAATGAAATGGCATTCGGCCAAATGCCATTCGTCACCTAATGCTATTGCCAAAACTCATTCAACTGAGTTTTGGCAATAGCCGGAAAATACTGTAAGATCTTCAGCTGGAAGATACTGTAAAATAAATGCGACAGGCACCATTTTCCTTTAAGCTGTGGATCTGACAAGCATTGGCCTAGGTGTAGCTTTGGCATTCGCTTTGGACGTGTAGCAGCGCCGCCGAAAAAAAATTTCATTCAGGAAATCAATGCCTTCGCTACCGAATGCCATTTTCTATGCCTGAGTGTCTTGCATGCTTTTGGTGTTGCTGCATGACAATTCACTTATCTCTTTTTTTATGCACCTCCAGCACATGAAAGGTCTGCCACTGCTAGCCTCGTGAATTATTGTCTCCTTGTGACGTCACACTGCAATGACATGTTACTGGGAAATCACCCCCACGATTCCACAACCAGCAGCGGTATTGATATATTCAACGCCTATTTAAACACCACATCACTACTTTTAAGGCACTCGACACCAGTGTTGTTACTTACAACAAGAATCTGAAAATATATAAAATTTGTGTCAGCACTCCTTTGATGCCGTTATAAACACTCTAGCTATGGTGTTATCTATGCACCATACTACTTTGCTCGTGATGCATTGACCTTGGAAGGTGCTATTTAAGAATAAACACATGCACAGTAAACAAATACATTTGTTAGTGAGCAATTTTATCATTACATTACCTGCAGTGCGCAATTAAACTGGGACGACCATGTTCGTTAGCAGCTACATGTTTAGAATGCAGGAAGTATTACTTTCCTGAGCTGGCATGCTTGTCAGTGCCAAAACACGGCTGCAGACAAGCTTCAAACTTACCTTCAGTGCCACGACGTACTTGGTTGTCTTCTCGCGTGCGAGGTACACATTGCCAAACTTGCCTTTGCCAAGTGGCCGACCAATCTCAAAGTCCTGGAGACACCACTTCTTGACCGACCTGCAATGATAACAGAATGGTGAGTACAGTTGATGGGGGTAGGACATTGATGAACGAAGTTGAATGACAGCGATGATAAGATTTCATATGCCGAAAGCGACACGATGAATTATGCGCACGTACCAAATCCCCAGATTCCTCACCTTGCGCGTAGCCTCACCTTGCGATTGTACGCGTGTAGCCATAAATCTCCCGATAAACTGCCTCAACATCAGCGAAGAAATCTGAACAAATTCAAGTCGTACAGAACAGCCACATATCGATAGTTATTGTGACCTAAGCAGCTAGCAGACGTTTTCCGCTACTGAACCATGCAGAGGCGTCAGTAGAACAAGTGAAGTGTTGGGGTGCGACAGCTACACCCGGCAAATTGATCAAATGGGAAACACATGCCACCAGACTGCGCCACTTGCTGCGAGAGAGAGAGCTTCGGCAGAGTCAAAGCACATAAGACTTCTGAATACCGTCGACATTGGAAAAAGCAATATCTCGTCTGGGCTCGCAGCCGTATTCAGATGCAATTCAAGCAATTGACGTAGCTCGCAAAAAAGTGGCACCAAGCTAATGCCAAAGATCGCGAACGAGGCGTAAGGACGCGCTGTTCTTGAAACGCCGTTAAATTTCTTCTATGTAAGACACTGCTCTTGTCAATTCCTTGACGAGGCAATGTCGTGGCTCTCTCTGTAAGGCAGCTGAGTTTCGGAAAGCTTTTCAAACGAGGACATCACGACGGAACTCGTGATGACATCGAAAAGAAAGCGCGAGCTCGCCGAGTGCTTCGAAATGGTACTCACATGACGGTGAGAACGTTTTCTGGCACAAGGATGACGTGCAGAGAGACGACGAGACGCAGCAGCAGGCGTCACGAGTAAGAAGGGCGAGTGAAGCAAGACTGCTATGCGCCGCAGACCCACCACAGAACACCGAGCAACCAATTCGATCGAATTTTGCTTGCTTGCTTGCTTGTTCCTTTCTTTTGTGGCTCTCACCCACTAAGGGGGATTGGCCAAGAAGCCGGTGGTTAATGCAAGTAAATACATATAGATTTTCTAGATTAGGGGAATATGATTACTGTGTTTTGACTGGGGAAATTAATTTGGCGCAATGTCAGGAAAAAAAAGAAAAAGGGGGTGGGAGAAGTAATAGAATTTGTTGAATATCTGTGGTGGAATCGTTATATGAAATTCTCCTGAAAGTTGAATCATTGCAGTGTATCAGGTAAAGAAGAAGTGGTAGTGTGACTAGTAAAATTCGTGAGCTGATCGCTGACTCAGCAAGGTAATCTTCTTGTGTTATATATGAGTTCGCAGAGAGATCGAATTTTCCGGCTGCCGCTGTCCACTGCACCCGCGCCCATGAACACAAAGTCGACGCTTGGGGACGCACCAGTCGGTACCAACGAGTTTGTATCATTAATTAGGCATAACTCTTTGGACATAATTTATTATTAACTAAAATCAATAAAAACAACATGTAATAGTTTTAATAAACTGCATAGGTAAAAATAAGTTCTGGCTTGATGCAGTTTTGTTTTCGGTACTTGTACGACTGTGATTGGACTGACTAGCTCTCTTTCCCCTCTCTCATGTGTTTTCACTAATAACGCAATCGCGACTAAGAAAAGTAATCACAATTGGACTAGATCGCGATAGAACATGCGCCGTGCCTGTAGTGCCACTCTACCTGTTTAGTATCGTGTGATGGGCAGCACATCGTCAAACGGGAAGCTTTGATTATGATCAGGGCAGATCCGTATCTGGTGCGGCTACGCGGTCACTCTTGATCGCGATCAGGTCCGATCGAGATCAAGAATATTGTTGTAAGTGCATCATAATCTGGCCGAGAGATCGCAATTTGATCGACGTCTGCGCATAACTACATCCCGTTCAGGTTAGACAACGTAGCAGCGACGAGAATCAAATTTGTCGCACCCATTGCATATCTTTTTCTTGAATAGAGCCAATTGTGATCGAGAATGTGTTCCTTATAGCATGCCCTCCTCTGGTCATTCCAATTGTACTGATTGAGTTTTCATCACCTTCAGAGTTCATCCTTAAAGAGGTACTGACACAAAAACGTTGGCCTCGCATTTTTTGCTGCAATGTGTTGCTGGAGGCCTGTTAGTCATGACACGACACATTTTGCCTAAGCACGCGACAAATAATTATTTACAGGCCCCTCATTAATAATCAGTTTCAGTTTCGATTTGAGAGAGTTTAAAAAATTGGGTTCATCTGTCGCCAATTAGCGTGTGCAGTTTTTGACCACGTCAACACACAAAACTGTGACGCACTTTCACGCGATTTGCAATAAAAATAAGTTTTGAATAGGAAACGGGACTGGAATGTCACCAAACACATAACTGTTTAAGCATGCGCCATGGCCACGCACTCGCAACCAGCCGCCGAGAAATATAGACTGCGGAAAGCACGGAGGAAAGAAAGGTAGGAGAGGCCCTGACGTCACTTGTTGTGAAGCCGCGATGTAGCCGGAAGTCGGCCATTTTGACTGGGCGAATCCTTTTCTTTTGTTTACATCTGAATGTAAAGCAGACCGACTCCGTCCGGATTTGGAATTTGTATATAATTGCACCACAGAAGGCACGACTCTCTCTCCGGCTCGGAAAGCACGTGAGCTGCGCCGCGCGCGTGTCGTGACGATCCGAAATTAATGGAACAGGGCTCAACAGTGGCCCAGCGTGTCACTTTTCGGCGAAATAATTTCGTCCGAGTATTAACGGCGAGTAACAGCTCACCGACAACGAAGCAAGTACAAGAGAATGCGCGCTAGATGCACTGACAACAGTGAGTGTTTTCACGTCATTAATTCAGCAACTGTACAGACAACACAAGCGGTCGTGCGCCTTCTACGGTTGCATTCCGCCACGCGGCCGACGCAGCATTTGGCCACTATGTCCATGTTCCGCGTGAAACTCACCGACGTCAGCATTCTGTGACTGTGGTGACTTTGAGCACGGTGCAAGTGACACTTGAACGCGGTTGATGTTACGTTGAGAATACCCTTCATCCCCCCTCAATGACCTTTTGAGCCTCCAGTTTCCCCGCAATAACGTTCTTGCAGAGTACACACTTGTGTCTTAACCGGTAAAACGGCCTTAATAAAAAGGCTGTACTCACATATGAGTAAATCTGTAACCATACAAAAAATTATGGCGTTGTGAAGTAATCAGCAGAAAGTCCACAGTTGGCATGAAACTTTTCAACCTTTATTCAAAAAAATAATAAGAAACAGATCTTCAACTTTTTACACCTCAACGGCAAAATAAATCATGCGAAAAAACCCCCCGTAACCGGGGTGAACCACCCGCAGTGCTTCTGCAAATAGCACGCAACTCACTCGGGCATAAAGAAAAATAACGAGGACAAACATCAAACATGGGTAAAAGAAAAGCACTAAATGCAAGGAACTAATAGAGTTCTGACAAATGTTTACCACAGGGGCATGAAAAGCAATATCAATACCGTCTCAAGAGAGTGCTGCAGTGCAGAATTTCAGATATGGTAGACGTGAGCGACTTATTTTTAGGGGGCGAGGCGAGTCTGCGACACTACTGGTAATATTACAACATCAACATCGCTCCATAATTAAACAATCTTTTGTAGCACGGCCGATTGCGTGCAGAAAAATTGTAAAATGCTGTTTTCTAAAGGTCCTAAGGCAATGCTACCCATCGTCACCAAGCAACACAACTACCACAATTTAGAGCAAGTTACATGTGTTATTTACACAGGCATTGGGTGCTCTGTCGCGATATTATCACATGAGCTTCATGTCGTTTTTTTCAGCGAAAACCGCGGAGAAAGCATTTTCTAGTACTAATGCATGCCGGCATGGTGACGCTGAACGCTTGATATCTACACAAACACAGCATTAAACAATGTGCAAAAAACAAGAGTGGCTATTATAACACTGAGCTGTGGAAACGGGGGGCTGAAGTTACTGTAAAAATGCATGACGTGTAAACCTGAATGGCGAAGACCATTCATAACATCACTAGAGAGAAATTTGAATGTGCATTCTCCACGTTTAGAAGTGGGCCGTACATCTTTCCTTTTCCCTTGTTCAAACTAGCGCCGACTTCACCTCCTCTTGCTGGGATGAGTCGATGCAATTTTCACAACCGAGCAACCAGATGCACTTAACTTTCAGTTTGCAGACAGCAAGTAGCAATGAATGAGCAGTAAGTTGAAAGCGAGATTCAAAAAGCTACAGCATGTACATAGCTGTGACCCAATGTGACGACACCGGGCGTGTGATAAAACAATTTTTGCAACTGCCGACACATGCACTCAATGTCCCATTTACGGGTCAGTATGACTCTGAAAAAACAAAGCAGGCACCTTTTTTTGCAGCACAAAGGTGTGAACACTACCTTATGCCCTATACTGTTAAATTCAGATTTACAACACACCTCATTATCAGAAAAGGGATATTTGTGTATAATTAGTGATTTCAAAGATTAAGCCCCTATACAAATTAGCTGCTTTAAGTGTTGCTAACACTGAAAAACACGCATAATATTTATCGTTAAAGCAATGTTTGCTGGGTGCCAACAGCCTGGGCTGAAACAACATTAGACATGCATACGAAGGCTTTCCGAGCGCTGAGTAATTATTACAGTATTACACCTTTGCACATAGATTCATACATTCAATGTCGCAGACCAGATAAGCACAAGCCTGCCAACTGCAGCAAAGCCATATCTTTTTCTTTCTCAATATGGCATACATATGCAAAAGTCACAGTTGGCTAAGATGCATCATGTCCACATACACGTGATTTGGCAGCAAAGCAAAGATGATACCATACATGCACGTACTGGCGCATTCACGAACCGGTGTATGGTGAAAATGGTTCATGCACTGTACAGCAATATATCCCTCTCGACAGTTGGTTCAAACCAGTACCGAAAACTCTCAGCCCTGCTCGCGAAACAAATTATGTTTAAGAAACCTCCTTTAAACAAAAGCAAACGCTTCAGGAAGGTGCCCATTGCAGATAAAACGAAAGAAGCTTCAAAACAGAGTTTATAGACCAGTTGAAATGTTAACCATAATACAAAACACATTGGGCTGCTTTTTACAACATGAATAAGGATAAAGAGTTTCTCTTTCATCACAACACAACAGCTTTTCCCACAGGAACAAACATATAGATGCGTACACAACAGTACCACAACAGAAACATCAATTGCGAGAATAAAGATTTTCATTCCAAGTGGGAAAGAAAGCAGAAACGTTAGATCCAGATGAAGCGTTCATTATAATAGAAACGTTTCATTGCTTTTCCCTCATTGGGCAATAGAAAATATCATCAAAAATGGTGCTGCAATAGTCCACTCTTAGTAAACACAAACATGAAAAATGGAGACGTTACTGCCTGATCCATAAGTACCTCACATGGCAAGCTGCGTACATTATGCATTGGCAATATCCTGATTGTCACTATATATCTAGTTTAGTTAAATGTAAAAGCAATCGCACACTCTCCTCTGCAACTGACAATAGATCGTCTCTTTCCGAAAATTGCAACAGGCCGCGCACGACTGAGTGGTAAATTATACGTAGGCTTGACTAAAAACAGCAATGCCTTTGAGGTACACAACCTTCCCAGCAATTCAAACTGTAAGTGCATAGAATATATATTTGTTTTACATTTATATGTAAAACCAAACAAAACAGCATCTTTTCACTCCGCACGACAACTTTCAACATTCATCGCTAACTGGCCAAACACTACAGAACATTACCGCCAGATTGCAAAAGTCATGTCATTCTTAAAGAAAGCACATATAGACAAATATAAAAGTCACAGTAAAAAAATCGTATACCGTTCAGCGCATGCAATACAATATTTTTACAGACAGCCGCAAGAAAACAGTCTTTTGAGCAACGTACAGTTCATTCAACATTGAATAAAAGCTTTCTTTCTCGAACAAACATCTAGAGGCCTAATGGATCCCAGACTTTAAAGGCCTCTTCACGTGAGGCACACTTCCAACCAGCTGTGATGCTAGAACGAGTTAAAATCTCTGGCGTGAAATCAAAACTAAGTGTTGCGTATGTTCAAAATACCGACATCACTGTGAGCAGCATCACATTATAGTACTTGTTCCCCATACGCCATCAATGACGAATGCAAAGCGCATTCAGTATCAGCAGTAGAATCAAATGCAAGTTGTGCATTAAAAGCCATCAGCGAGCCACACTGGCTCCCCGCATTAGTGACGCGGTGGAGACCGAACACTCAAAGCTCCGGTCTATTAAAAACACCACTACCTAAGTGCACTGCCATCCTCATCCCGCCAACAGTTAGCGCTATCGTAAAGGAAGCACGCATAACTTTCGAAACACCGTCCCCATAGAGGACACAGTGCAGCGGTTTAAAATGGCACCTCTTTTCCAGTGTGTGGGCAAACATGCATTGTCTAGCACTGGCATGCCCAAGGATTCAGTGTTTGCTTGCAAGTCGCAGTCCTAACTCTTATTCGCAACAGAGATGCTGTGTGAACAAGACTAATCCAGAAATTACAGCTCAGGTATGTGCCCCTCTGCGTTATCAGCACTATGTCAACAACAGACGTCAGTTCTGGTGGCCATCAACAGATGTTACGAGCTTGCGTTGCTGTTCCGGAGGTATGAGCACTTCTTAACTTCGCTAACACGCTTCTAGAACTTCAACCGCTGCGGGGCTGCAATGATTAATAATAAAGTCGAATAAGCAAACAGTGCACAATGTTGACAGTCATAATATTACCTATATCACATGGTAAAAACAGAACAACACAACCTTAAAAACAACCGGGAGAGAAAAACATGCGGGGTGCATCAATAACTATGCAACAGTCACACGCCTTGAATACAAAGAAAATGCAACATTGCACCAAGAAAAACAAAAATTGCCTTTTAGGCATGTAAGAACACAAAGGTCAGTAAGTGAAAGACATTTTGTTTAGATTATTGCTTCCACTGCCACCCTTTGATCAACATAGAGCTTTCGCCTGACAAGAAGGAATGTACGACACATGCCAAGCAAGGCCATCCTTAGACGCTGTGCTTTCAGGATTTTAGAGTGGCAGAGGACAATTTGCTTTCTCAACAGCCGCGCGTTACTTCCAGAGAGAGTTTACCAGGCTAGGCTGTGACGGGGGAAGCCACAGATAAGCAGAGCTGATACCAGTGGGGGCTATGAGGCCTACCCAAGTTAAGTACCACTTGGGCACCGTGTGCTGCCAATATCAGATACCACAGACCTCCCCACTCAATTTCTATCTAAAATATTCGCATAGATCTTGTTCAGTTGTGCATCTAACTTTGCCCCAGGAAACCTGAGGCACCTTGCCGAAGTCACAAGGGACACCTCATAATTCTTGCATCAATTATGACCAACAGTGATATGCACAATGGCGAAAATGTCGTAAAACTAGTGCTGACACTGCCAAAATGCTAGCACTAACAAAGCTCTGCCATGATGTATTAATGCATGTACAGCACAGCGCAATTTAAGAAGAATACCTAGCAGGCAATCATGCTAGGATAAGCGCAACACTTTTTTGATCCTTGAAAAAATAAGAGCTAATGAGAAAAACAGTCGATGAGGTTGGTATTTCCATACGAAACAATTGTTCTCAGCCCTTCAAGTCATAACTCTCAGTTTTAACTAATGGCAGAACAATCAGCCGGATGTGCAGCTTCGGCAGTCACTGCAAACCACCGCCTCCAAGACAGGCAAAAAATTGCTACGCATGAGGTATGCGAGGAGAGTACAAAGAGTTTGAAAAAATGGTTTTGATACCTCAGTAGTTTTCCTATGCTTAACGATAATGGAGGATGTCATCCTCTGCTGTCCTTATACAACAGCGTTACTTGCGTTCAAGACTAAACTACTTGCATAACAACTGCTACCTAGAGCAGCCAGCGTATATAAACATCTCCGGACTTATTCAAAACCTTGTGCTATGTAAAACACACATGAAACCTGGGCTTGCTACGCCGAAAAAAAATTAGGCACTTTTAGACACCGTTCATAGGGCATAAGACTGATTGTGGTGGCATGACCTGTTGGAAAGGCCAACTCGGGACAGTACTGCACCCTTGCTATAGTATCAATCTCGGCTTAAACAACAAACAGGTGCACCCATACATGCCTGAATTGTGCCAAACTCACCAGCTGGCCACGTTTACCTTTTGGTGCTAGTTGGCAAGCTCAAACCAACTGCACTCTACAGAGGTGTTAACGTCATTTGGAACAATAAAACAAGATGTGTGGAAGGGTGCAAATATTCCAAGATTTTGAATGTACGCTACCCGTAAGCACAAATATGCTTCTAATAGTCCTAACAATTCAGAACGTTGATTGCACACAAATAAACAGCGATATGAACTCTGAAGGTTTTTGTACAGAAAACCTACTTACTCAAGCCTAACGCCTGATTCGTGGTTTTAATGCAATATATGAACACCACGATGTGAACATTTTATATTAGGGGTAGAAATGGCCTTCCATAATTTGGAACACTGTTTGCTGGTGTTCTACATACACAGTTCAATTTCCTTTGCATGCTATTCTGCTTGCACTGAACCTCTAGTAACACTATTGACACATCCCTAAAATATATTGTACAGCTGTGAAGAAAAGGCCACAAAAAGAAATATTTGCTTTACACTCAAACCTATAAAGTGGCAACCAGATGACCTTCCAAGCAATATGCTTTTTCTTATCTATGGTTGAAAACACGCGCAGACAGGAGCGAACCAAACGCTGAAAGGAAACGACGCACAAAGAAGTGATTTACGATTATGCAGCAAAAAGAACGAGCGGTCGCTTTATTAGTTAACACAACGCTCATTACTGGCCTCCCTTGGATGTGGTGTAACACAGGAGACAGGTGATGTCGACAGCACGTCTTTTGTGCAATTATTCCTTCAGCAAGGTTAGAGTCAGTGCCCAGTACCGTCACTGAAGAGACCCGAGGACATGTCAAGGCGATTATGATGGGCAGAAGACTGGCACACGTTAATCAATGTAGGGTTGTACTCACAGAAACAAAGCTCTGGTAAACTGGTCAGTTGTGGCACATTTCTCATTATGTGCAATAGTGTGGGGTTACACATGGTGTCACCCACCCACAGTGGGGTATCGTGCTTATTTTTTTCCCAGCCTCGTGCAAGTGCGTCCGTTAACTTCACTCGAAACAGACCACAATAAGGCCAACGAACTGCACAAATTATACACACAACAATTCACAATGCTGCAGTCTCTATCAGATATGCCACCACTTGCTGTTGACATATCAAGACGCCAAATCCACCGCGGGAGGCATCGGCAGATGCAGATGTCAATCCTGCTGTGTGTTATTGTCGTACCAGTGTTGCACCAGTGTTGCACTGTCACGGTGCTCCCATTCAGAGTGCCAA